TGTGTGTGTGTGTGTGTGTGTGTGTGTGTGTGTGTGTGTGTGTGTGTAAAGATTCCTTGGTGCCATCATTGTGACCCTAGGTCTGAGCTGTGAGGTTCAGGACTGGTGATTCTGTCATCCTTCTGCAGTTCTGCTAGAAGGCACTGATGTGGGCCTGTGCTTTGTAGCATGAACTGATTCAAGGAAAGGGAGAAGCTGAGGCCCCAACAAGGAGCAGGAGGCTGCTGAAAGAGATTAAAACCATTCCTGGGGTACCTGAGTGTTCTGGCAAGTGCTAGAATTAATCCTAGCACAAAGAAAGTAACTACTTCCATATTGGCACTAAGACATATGCCAGGGATATAAAATTATGGGTTACCCCGTAGGGAGACTATTTTTTTTTTCCAAAGTCTTCATTTAAGAAATGAAGCTAAGAGGGCTATTCTGCTCCAACAATCACTTAAGAAGTAAGATTTTGTTCTTACAGAAAATAATTTGATAAAAGCTATTCATTACAAAGAATGTACAGCCTTTGGCTAGTCTATGATTCTCTGTACCAGTAAGCCAAAAGGTTGGATTGAGAATGCTCCCTTTTACATCACTATTATAGTATGAACTGTTTTTGGTATTTACGATACGTGATGTGCCTAGTGCAATGGTTTTCAAAAGTGGCCCAGTGGATTGTCTGAGTATTAAGGAACCATATCAGCGTTCATAGAGGAATTTATAATACAATAAAGTCTATGCTTTAGTGGCAGACATGTCACATTAACCACCCCACTATGTTCTGACCCATTAGTTGAGAATGGTCTTCATGGTTGCGTGATCAGTGGGAACACTGGTTTGTGGCAGGTGTGTTGGTTCCTTTGAAATAGTCCAGAGAACCAAGCTATTGGAAAACCAAACTGCCATTGGCCATACTGTAAATGTGACTGACTGAGCTCTGAAGATACCATTTCTTCCACCTCTGAGAGCTTCTAACCCCTGGTCAATCAAAATCCCTTCCTGGATTTCACCTTTAGTGACTACAACTTCTGCTTTATGCTCAGATCAAAACGGGGGACAGAGGTAGCAGAAACTCCCTGGAAGTTAGTGGTGTCCTATCAGCATATACACAGCCACGCTGTGTTGCTGCCAAGTTCCCTCTGCGTAAGATGACTGTGTGACATTGGCTGAGACCTGCTCTGTCTCAGCACTGAGACCTCTCTGTGTGGTTACTAATAAGGCTCGCCTTACTTCATGTTATACTGAGAACCCAAAGGGGGAATGTTTCACCATTAATTTTCTTGATGAAATCTCTTTATCTACACTGTTTCCCTTAAGCTTATGGAATGATTTTTTTTATATGATAATAAAGCAAGATGGCCTTGGTTCTACTATTTTTTTCCTCACTCATCTTGGGGATACCTAGAAAGAACGAAAAAATAAAATAAAAAGAGCAAGTAGAGTAATTATAGCATGTATTTCTTAGGCTCAAAAGAGGTCAAAGTATCAGAATTTGAGTTAGAACATTTTGAGAGCTGCATTGAGAAAGCATCACAACTCAACAACTAACTTGTAAAGACTAGTTAGATGCAAGATGGATGAAGCCTGTGAAGCAGTCTTCCCATGGCTACACTCCTAGTCTGAACAAAAAAGCCCTTCTTACACTGACGTCATGAGGAAACTTGATTGTTGAAGTGCATGTGTGAGAATACTGGGGGCTCCAGTATATACTGACTAGGAAGTAGAACGTTCCATTATTATTTCATAGCATAAAGATGAGAAATGCAAATTTGGCTAGCTGTCCCAGAGGGCGATACACTGTGGTTAGATGGACCACTATCAAAACTGTAATTGCCTTTTCTAATTTATTTCCATATAAGAAATCAATCTTTATAGAGTGATAAAGCAACAAGGAACTGGAAAAGTTTCCTAAATCTACTGGTATGTCCTTGTGAAGGGCTCTTGGAGGCCATCATCCTATTAGGTATAAATTAGCACGAACAGAAGCCTACACTCTAATTTTACCAATGTTTTTTAAAATAAAGTTTTATCCAAAGAGGCTCTCTCACCATAGCACCAACAAAGAAGGGCAACCAAGCACATTCCAAGCAGCAATGCCAAATCCTGAACCAAAAGAATGACAAGGAAACCTGTCTTCTACAACCCTATTTTTCCTCTACAGTTCCTTTACTGGGACTAGGTATTGATGGTGGTGGATATGACTGACAAGACCGTGAAGAACACAGCCAAGCAACGGTCAGTGGAGGGCACAAGCCAAATACATGCAGTGTACTTTCTAGTTACCCTCTTAGAGAATGCCTTCCTTTCCACAGGGAAGGAAACCAACTTCATCATATAATAGGCTAAGATTTGTCAAACAGCTACATGAAATACACAATTCTTTGCACACTAATATTAATGTTATGTCATCAATAAGGAGGTCATATGGAAACTCATAATATTCAAAAGATAATGCCAATTAACTTTCACTGTCTCATTTTCTACTGATTTGTCATTTGTAAGGATGGGAAGACACAAAATATCAGCTATTAGAAACAAGTGCTTTCTACTAAGTTTAGGGCCTGCTTACCTGTGCATCAATTATTTTCTGCTTTGCATCAATAACTGCTTGCATCTCAGCATGATCCTTCTTTAATTCCTCTTCCACAGCCATTAGCCTAGAATGTGGTTAGGAAGGAGGTATCAGTGTTTTCAAAGACAGGGCTAAGCAATACAGAGAATGAGAAACTTAAAACCTGGGGTTCCCAACAGAAGACCTCTTTTATTGCAAAAACCTTTTCTTTCTTCTCCTCCTCTGTCTTCCCTTGAAAGACATTCTAAGTTGAATCTTTTTACCTTGGCTGGGTTCTGTAGCATTACATTTTGAGAACACTATCCTAGTGATCATCTTCTTCCTATTAGGTCATTCCCTTAGCAAACATCTTAAAATAGCAAATGAATAAAAGCAGCACACAAAAAAGGCTATCTAATTTTTAAATTATTTGTTATTGACAGAGTATTTCATATAGCCCAGGCTAGCCTTAAGCTTGCTATGTAGTTGGCTGATGCTGGCTCAACTCCTGGTACTCCTACCCTTAACTCCTGAATGTTGGAATTATTATGGGCCAGCACCACCATTCCAGGCTGCAAACCACCTACTGTTACTCTCAAGTTACACTATAGCTACCATCCTAGCTTCCTCTTTCCTTGCAAAGCTATGTTTCCTTCAGAGCATTCTACTAGATTTTGTTTCTCATTCACTCCCCACAACTCAATCCATTTATGCATATCTCCTCTGTTCTACTCCCATGCGTCTTAGTATGAGGTCAGTTATTTCCAGGCTACTAAAACAGCAATGCTTTTTCTGTTCTTCTCTTACTTGTCCACAGCATATATCAATACTGTAGCTAAGTGGCTAGGAGTCTGGAGTCTGATGGCTGGCTTAAAACCTGGGTCTCCACTGCCTATGGTACCCTGGACGTGCAACTGTTGCCATTTTCTCTATCTGTAAATAAGTGATTTACAAAGTGCTTAGAAAAGTGCTTGGCCCATAGTGAGTTTTCTGCAAATACAGTCAAATGGATCTCTTTTTTACTCTTCTTTTTTGGCATCTATGGCACTTTTTTGGTTCTCTGGCGCTAAATGACATCCACTGAGGCTTCCCTCTTTGTTCTTGGACTTGCCTAGGAAAACTGAGTTAACCCTCAGATATTATAGATATTGAAAACCCAATTTTCATCTAAAACTTCAGAGTAAATTTTAAATCCAGTTTTCCTCTCTTTTTTTCTTCTTCTATTGTACCTTCATGGTAAGTATATCAGATCTCATCTGGTTTAATACCTAAGAGACACAGTCATTATATTTGTACTGATTACTACAAAATAAACATACACACATGGATTAAAAAAAGGTTGTAGCTATTCTTTTGAGAGTATTTGGATAATTTTCCCACTTCTTTGTACCTACTAGAGCCAATCAGCTACCAGGTGGTCTTCTAACCTGCTGATGATGCTTTTCATCTGGCTGTCCTTCTCCTCCTGCTGTCTGCGCAGCCGCTCCTCACTGTCCTCCAGCCGGGCCTTGTACTCCAGCAGCAGCTTCTGCATCTGCTGCTCCTGTACCAGCAGCCGGCGCTCGTACTCCTCCAGCCTCCGGCTGGACACTCGCAGGCGCTCCTTCAGTTTGCTAATTTCTTGTTCATACTGGCAAAGGGGAAGAGGCATCAACACTGGCTTTGGAAGTTACTGATATACTTACTTGCTGGTCGGAGAACCCCAGGTGAGATGGTAGGTGCTGTCTGATCTGCCATGCCCTTGCTGCTACCCGGGTTATTTAAAAGTATCAGCTGGCTCACATGTTAAGGAAACACTGTCATGTGTCTAAAATGACATTTTAAATCTTAACTTGGCATTATGAATTCTACAGCTTTATGTACTTTTCTTCACATTAAACTACAAGTTTGTGGCAAGCCACATCTAATCTTTAATGGTATCGAAAAGGAGGGAGAAAGAAAAAGAAAGTGACTAAAGAATTAGAAGCCTGACAAATGACTTAAGCTAAAAGCTAGCTGTCTTCAAGAGAAAGACATATGTTTTCACCCACACTGCAAGATTCCTGACACTGGGGCTCATTAAATTAGAACGCACCCTTTAGAAAACTCAGAGTAAAGCAACATTTCTTTTAAGCCACTAAATCAGTTAATACAACTTCATGACAATAGGCCATTATTGCTTTCCTTTTAATCATAAGAGTGTGAAGTATTCAGGTCATAAGCAATGACAAGGGACTACATCTTCGCTAGGACTAATATTGTCTCCTGCCCTATTTTCAAGATGTGGCTTCATCTGCCTGACCTGGTTCCGCCTGCTAGAGTCTGTGTTCTCACTAGCCTTCCATAAATTCTGTAATTCAGCTGGTCACTGGGCCCTTTTGTGTACTAAAGTTCCTGTGGACAGGGTCGTTAATGCAACTGAAAGTTAAACATTCCGGTAAGGTGAGGAACATGAGCTTCCTTATGGATGGGCTACTTACATTTATCCATAAACTAATGGTAAATATGTAGGGTGTTCTGTAAAATACAACTTATATAATAACATCTCATTTAATTGGTGAAAGACTACTAGCTACTGCCTATCCACTTCTCTGCTCTAAATTATGCTGGTTAATGTAGAAAGCTGAAGCTGAAAGCCTTAGGACAGCTCTGAAAGGCGGGGCTGCATTATCATTATTTATGATTTTCTAACAAAAATAGTTAATTTCTGATGCTCAATTAAACATGATGTTAAGGTTATTGCTTAATTTTCCAGGTTTGTTTTTCTTTAAAACAATACCCTTAAGCTCCAGAGGTGGAGGTCAGAAGACCTGAATTTGAGGCCAGCATGGGTGTATGTGAGAGATCCTGTCTCAGAAAAACTCAAACAAACAAACAAACAAACAAACCCACATACACTCCAAAATACTCTATGAAACCCCTCAAACAACAGACATCTTTTAATTAATTATCTGTACAGCTAGGCAGTCTTTATTTACAAAAGGCAAAACCCCCAACAGAACAATGAAAGTATAAACAGATTGTTCCAATACATAGACAGTCTAGTCCTAAAGAAACCGTGAACTTCAAGACCAGAGTTTATAGAAATACCCGACCTTCCCCTACAATGATTAGAAACAAGCATCACAGCGCCTTCTAAATTAAAGCAGTCTGCACTAAAAACTGTCACCCTCTCCTCCTTAGCACTCCTTTATACACTGTCCTTATAGGTTCAATGAGAGCCTAGCCTATAATACACAGATGTGGTCAACATGAGAAGCAGAGCCAAAAGCCTGGGGTATACAGTGAGTCCCAGGCCAGAGTTTTGTTTTGTCTTAAATCACCTACCACTTGTCAACAAAGACAAATTAGGTTCTACCTTCTCAGCATGCTTGGCTTCGTCTTGATTCTGTTCAGATTCTTCCACATCCTCTTCATACTGTCCATTGTTCAGAACCCAGGCTGCTGTCCTTTCTACTGGGGACATTGTGGCCGAGTCCACAGGTGATTGAACCTATGTCAGAGATTTTTATTACCATTCCCTAGAACACAAGTTATGCTTCATAAAGACAATTACATAACTGTGATGATTCTTAAGAAATGCTTTCAGTTTTAGGTAATAGCCTACTAATGCCAGGGCCAGAGAATATGCATTTGTGTAAGGACAAACTATTCTCAATTCATAAACATAACTTCCAAGAACTATTCTTTTGTCAGCTATGAAGTTAACCCACTGAAGTTAAGATGCCAGAACAAAAGAAAGGACAAGTTTGAGTGTTCAGATGATGGGATGCCTGTTGAGCCAGATAATCATGGACTAAAGAACTGACTGATGCTATGCAAGTTCACAGATGTACACATCAGAATGCCAGTACTGAGCTTTCATAGTAACTATTTAGAGAAAGAAAAGCGGTGAGAGTTCTTACTTTTCTGTAACACTGACTTCCTGGTATGTTAGGACCATTCAAGAGTCTATGTTTCAGGCAAGAAACTTTCTTAGTTTTTTGTTCGTTTACTTAGCTGTGTTAGATATGGAACCCAGAGCTTTGTATATGCTCTAGGCAAGTGTTCTCCTATTAAACTACGTCCTCAGCACTACAAAAGAAAGTTTGCTTGAACCTAAGAGCAAACTCTAAATTCCTCTAGTAGTCTAAGCCTCTAAAGCATGTCTCTGTCCAGTTAGATAGCAAAATAAATGGTCCTTTCTCATATATATATGCAGTGTTAAAAAATTCCAGTCTTGAGAAACATCTCTGCCACGAAGTACTTAAAACACATAATCTCTTAAATTCCGTTTTCCTCACCTATTGAATAACAATTCCCATTACCTACCTGATCATCTCACAGGGAGTTCTGAGGACTGGTAAAACGGTGTTTGTGAAAGTTCTTTGGTAACTTAAGAGTGTTAATTTCTAGGCTGCCATAGACAGGAAGAAAATATATACATGTTATATATGTGTGTATGAGGATGATGGAAAATGGAGAGGAAGGTATGTATGTGTATATACGTCTGTATGTATGAGCTTCAACAGTGTAAAAATTATATGTTTATGCTAAAATGGATTTATATTTTGAGGAACAACTCTAAATTTCATAATCAAAGAGAATTTTTTCATTCCTAGCTTTCTATTTTAAGAATCTTTATAACACTCCAGACTAGAACTCAGTTAAACTCTAAATAAAAGGGGATTTTGGTGACTGTGAGGGTTAGATGGTGAGATGAAGAACCTGTCTGCACAGACAGGTTGTTAAGAGACTTTATAAATACACACAGAACTAATATAGGCTGTCTTAAAGGTCTGAAGGAGAACTTGGCTCAACAAGAATGGCTTTATGCCTAGGGAAGGATGAAGTTTATATAAGCAAGCATGTGCACGCGCGCGCACACACACACACACACACACACACACACACAGAGCTGTGAACAAACATGTTGGAATTTCCTCTCTAAAGTCACTTTTTACATTTACATGTATTTTAGTCTTAAATTTCAGTATCCTTTGTACCTTTGTACTTATAATTCTATTTCTACTTCTACAGTTATAGAATTTTTTTTATTTTTATTTATTTTTTTTTGAGACAGTGTTCTCTGTGTAGCCTTGGCTATCCTGGACTTGCTTTGTAGACCAGGATGGCCTCAAACTCACAGAGATCTGCCTGCCTCTGCTGGCAGGTGCAGGGATTACAGGTGTGCACCTGGCTATAAATGTTTCTTATACCTTATTTATTTGTATGTCACTTTTTGCTATGTCTACCTTATCACTAACATCTATTTATCTCCTTTAAACACAACCTTTTACAGTTTGCTAAGTCCTTATGCTAAACAATATCAGTAGAGCCCATGAGTTTGATATACTACATAATTATGCGCTTCTATATTCAGATTTTAATGGTTATATTTTCCAAATATGTATCATTTATATGACTAAGTAAATACCTATGTATACTTAAATCATTTTTAAACACCATACTTTGGAAACTCTAGATATAGTGTCATCTACAAAAGAAAAGAACTAGTCATATCAAAAGTTACGATAGCTTGGCATGGTGGCATGCCTCTAATCCCAGCCCTGGGGAGACAGAGCCAGGCACCTCCATGAGTTCGAGGGCAGCCTGGTCTACAAAGCAAGTTCCAGGACAACCAGGACTACATAAAGAGACCATGTCTCAAAAAACCAAGTTATGAGAAAAATAAGAAAGTGAAAACACTTTACAAATTGAAGTGCTTTAAACACAAATACATGTGTAGTTCTCCACCTGCTGGATGTGAAAAGCAAAGTGCAAGGAACTGTTTCTGTACCAATTAAGATAAATAGAAACCTTGGGCTTAATTTTCTGTTATAAAACAAAAAAGTGTAGCACTGAATCTAAAAGATTAATAGAACGTTTAAATAGAGTATTTAGAGGAGACAATGGCCTTTTACTTTTACAATCATTATTTTAGCAAAGTTAGGGTACACAGAAGTGCTTTACTAGGATTTTCTATTTATCAGCAATTTGAGATAGAGCAGCTTTTTGAACTAGTAACTCACTATTAAGAAGTTATTACTTAAAGCAGCTACCCAATAGCTTCCTGCTTTCAATGCTTAATAAGATATTACTTGAATAAACATTCCCTTTCATTTGTTATGGATAACTTCATTATCTATAAATCTCCTTAGTTCTAAACTGACAGTATGCCTAAGAACATACAAAGGAAAAAGACCTCAGCTTGAAAAGCATATTCAAGACAAGACAGCAAGAATAAAATAGGTGATCCAGGCTTGAAATGTTAACTGAGAAGATCTTAAAGCAAGGGTTGGCTCACATCACTGATGGTGGTACTATCTACCGTATTTTTAGGTCTACTATAACACACAGTGCGTTGTGACAGATTGTGCAATGGAACTGGATATCTCAACTCTCTTCCTGTTTTATTGGTTGACTCTTACTCTCAGATAAACTGTAAAAATAATAAGATAAATAAAATTGACAAGATGGGTCAGATCAACTTTATTCCTTCTGTTTATGTTATATCCTTTAATAAGCATGAGTAAGCCAGGTGTGGTGGTACACTCCTCTAATTCCAGCACTCCAGGAAGCAGAGGCAGGCAGATCTCTGTAAGTTTGAGGCCAGCCTAGTCTGCACAGAGAAGTCCTGTCTTGAAAGAGCAAACAAACAAACAAATAAAAATCATGAGTAGAAAATATTGAAGGAACCATAAGTAGTGACTGTAAAATAAAATAAAATCTGGGTCAAAACTATTAGAATATGTGCATTATATGAAAAATCTATAAACTGTCTTTTATAGTTTTTCTTTTTAAAAATATTTATTTATTTGATGTGTATGCATGTTTGCAACTTTGTAAGTTTGTGTGCAACACATGCATGTCAAGGAGCTCTCAGGAGGCCTCCCTCTCAGGAGGGAGCCGAGTCCCCAGGAACTGGAGGTACAGGTTATTGTGAGCTGCACACAGGTGCTGAGTCCAACCTGGGTCCTCTGGCAAGACCAGCAGTAAGTGTTCCTAACTACTCTTTTCCAGCCCTGTTACTTATTTAGTTTTGTGGTCTCACATGTGCTGGTCTTCTCAACTATGTCATCAAACTAGCGGCAAGCACCTCATCATGCAATTCTTCTGAACATCAGTGACTAATTCAGTATACAAGAAATGCTCAACAGCATTTTATATATCAACACTGAGCTCTTCAGAACTCACGGATAAAAAATGCACTCTTAAGAGGACACTGTTCTTCCCTTACTTTTCTGGAAGGGAATCAAAGGCTTTTCATTAACAATCTAGTAAGTGGTTCAGGTTTCATCTTGCTTAGCTACAGCCTGAGGAAAAAAATTATATTTACTTGACTTTTAAGAGGTCATGAGCGAAAATGAGGGGTGAAAACAAGGAAAAGGAGGATAGTCTATAATCTCCTTTGAGTTGATGCTGTGTACGTTTTGCCTGGGAAAAATAATGATCTGGGCAAAAGGGCCTGACACAACAGTTTCACTGATACTACAGAATACTACAGTTAGTCATAGCCTGGCTGTGCTGGACCAGCTGGGAATGGGCCAGCTCTCCTGCGCGTTGCTGGTATTTATTAAACAGAAGCAACACTTGCTGGTGTCAGTTTCCTCACAGTTTGCATTAAGTTCTTATAAATGAATAACCAGTATGGTACCAACAGCAAAGTAAGTGAACTCTGAGAGTTCTTGAAGAGTTTGGATAGAACACTCAACAAATCCAAAAGTGAAACCTGCAGGATGATACTGGAGGGCTTATCACATGCCTATTTAAAAGGCCTCTTCCAATTCAAATTTCGACCTACTAAGTCAAAACAACCCACATACTTAAAATAAATAATATCTATTATTTGTATAAGATACATGATATGTAAAAAAAAAAACATAAAATAAAAGAGAAGAAATGAGAAAAAAAAAAAAGAGACTCAAAGGGGTCAAAATATTCAGAATTTCCTGAAAAACATTTGTTTCATAGTAAAGTATTTCACTAGGATTTTATTTCTTTCCTACTCACTATTTGAGAAGAATGAAGCAAGTCATACTGCCAACAAAGGCCTCTTCTTTGTGTGAAGACACAAACGGAATTTGCAGGGACAAAGCCACTGATAATTATAACTGCCTACAAAGCAATCTCCACAAAGAAATCCTCTAGGTTGGGGAAAGAATAAAAAAATCCCTACCATAATTTGCAATTGAAATATGTAGAAGAAATTACCTTAAAAATGTGCTGATTATACAGAAGTTCAGAGGACTCATGAGATGAAAAACATAAGAAGTGGAAAGATAAGAAAAGGATTCACAAGTTTGAAACGATAAACCATAGAAAAGGGCACTTTGAGCAATCAAAACACTAGGTTTCAACTTCTATGATAGTGGCTGTTATCAGCAGGGTATAAATGAAGATGGATATTTTAAATCTGTGCTAGGACACTGCACTGTTGCTGTGCCCTAGTTTATGCCAGTATAGCCAGTTCCTAATTCATTAGTAGCGTGATAGAAAACTTCAAATTAGTTTTGGGAGATGATACACACCTCCTAAGATCTAAGCAATCTTAAATCCACTTGTGGAAGTATATGTTTTGTTCTTGTGTGGTAAGTGCTCTATTTTTCTATAGAAAAAATGTTGCAAAAAGCAATTGGTATTGGACAAATGCACAAGAGTTATAAGCACAAATGCTACATGACAGGACTCCATGATAGAGAAAAGGAAAATGGTAAGGCAGAAGTAAAAAGAAAAACACTTAGTGCAGATGGGTGGGTTATAAGCAAGAGTACTGCCTGCCCAAAGAAGAGAATTCTAATTTTTCTTTTCTTTTAGGGGAGGAATCTGATCGGTTTCCTTATCAGTGATAATTTTTCTACTTCTATGTCATCCTCACTGCCTTCTGACTGCCCTAAGGTCTCCAGGAAATGTTTGCTATCAAATAAAAGGGCCAGTGAAATGTTGGTCATAGGATCCGATAGGTCCCAGCAAAATATTAGAGGCTATTGACAAGGTTCTTGGTTTCCCTCCAGAACTTGAAAGATAATTTATTGCTGAAGACACCACACACTTGAGTCATAAGACAAGCTGATACTGACCTGGAAGCTTCATCCCTATTGCCTAGCTTTTGTAGCGCTGGAAGGTTCTACGCATGCTACTAGGGGAGAGAAACAATCAAAGGTTTTCCTGGCTGTGAACCTTGTGAGCTACAATTCAGTAGGCAAGAAGATACATCTAAGGGGACTCCAAACCCCTTCTGATTGAGCATAAAGCCTGCTCCTCAGGCAGAACTCATGCTTGGTACTATTAAGTGGGCCAACATCCTATCGTTGGCTAGATGACAGGTCTTAGGGGAGAACCTTCTATTATTCTGTTAAATAAATAACAGTATGTAACTGACCCCTGAGTTCTTATCTTTATACCAATAGATTAGTGCATCTCAACTCTAATGAGAAGCTTCTTCTTGTAATAGATGATTAATACAGAGACCTGCAACTGAACTGGTCAGTAGGTAGAGAATAAAGACTCTGGAGCACTCAGCCCTAGATGGGACATCAATAGCACACACCTCCTCCCTTCATGAAGGCAGAAAGAACGTAATTAATATAGCTGATTTTGTGAAACTAATGTCCATTATTTTGCTCACTATGACAGAACCACCACACCCATTAACTCACAGAAGCTGTGACTGTATATACAAGATCAAGATGGCCAAAATCCTGACACAGACTGGGGAAGGAATCATGAAGTCCTACAATTAGCTGGCACCTGATTGCTGCTGGGCAAGCCGGAGAGTAAGACTTTAGTTTTTTTTTTTTTTTTACTGAAAAACTACTCATGTTCCAGTAGGTAGCTCTATACCTACTCACATGTATACATAGCCTAAGTGGACTTGTTTTTTTGTTTTGTTTTTAAAGAGTGAGCTCATGAAAATGAGGCAGAAAAGTGATGGTGAAGAATAGGGGAGGAGCTGGAGTGGAGGGAATATGATTGGTTTTGATCAAAGCACATTATATTCAAATTCTCAAAGAATACAAATATTCAAGACAGGTATAGTGGTGCAAGGCAATAATTTCAGCACTAGGGGGGCAGACACAGGCTAATTTCTGTGAGTTCAAGGCCAGCCAGGGTTATTCACCCTGTCTCCAAAACAAACAAACAAACAAACAAACAAACAAACAAGTTACCTTAAAAATTCCACAAATACAAAATGTTTTAGGAAAAAACTCTTTTAGATGAAACAAACACACATACATATGGGGGAAGGGTAGAAGAAAGAGAAACCTCTAAATAGTTACTAGTTTATATCTAAGGGTAAACTATGCATAAATGGTTCAAACTATCATACACAAAGGAATGATCAAATTTTGGGCAAATAAACAAAATTTCAAAATGTTGTATCAGGATTGGAGTGATACTGGTTGGACCTGTCCATTTATGCAGTAGATGTGCAAATATTTCAACTATTTGTCAACCATCTGTGTTTTTCTCCTTCCTTCCCTTGCCTCTCCCAGTGTTCAGTTGTTTATTTTTCTAGCCATTTCCAGGAAAAGGCACACGGGACTTGGCATTTCCATAGGGAGTTGGGGGATGAAGTGGAGAAGAATTATATTACATTGTAAGTTCAGAATGTAAAACTTTACTCTGGGAGCTTAATGAAAAAAACTAAGAAGGATTACTTTCCGGATTCCCTAAATACAGTTGACTTTGACTACAGATGTCCTGTTTACTGTGTAATTATTCACCCAGTATCTCAGCTGTGCTCTAAGCATACCTCAAAGAAGCAGCTCTATTCCTTATGGAAAGGAAAAGTTCAAGTGTTTGTTAGCATGTTCTAAGTCTTTCTGTTCTCACCTAGCCAGAAGCTTCCCCAAAGTTTCCCTTTCTTTCTTCTGTGTAAAGGTGTAAAGGTTACAGAAACATTCTTTTTTTTTTTTTTTAGCTACAGAATCTTTTTTTAAATTTTATTATTAGTTACATTTTATTAACTCTGTATCCCAGCTGTATCTGCTCCCTCATTCCCTCCCAAACCCTCCCTCCCTCCCTCCCTCATCTCCTCCCTGCCCCTTTCCAAGTCCACTGATTGGGAGGACTTCCTCCCCTTTCATACAGAAACATTCTTAAAGTAGAAACCTTGTTATCAGTTTGGTTTCTGGACATTTTATACATAAACCCAGGTGTCCATCCAAGCAGAGGCCAAAGCCTTCAGCATATTGCACCTACCTGTTGTGTTTGCTGTCTCTGGATGGCTCTCACTTTGGGAACAGGGCTTTCTCTGGAGGAGGAGGACTGCTGCCTGGATCTGCTCCCATTCTGCACAGGTTCAGCCATCAGGGCCGCAGATGCCACCGACATGCTCCCTGTGCTCCGTAAAGAAGCACTGTGTGGCAGGGATGGGGGTGCTTTGGCTCGGGCACCTAACCCAGCCTGGTCCATTTTTCGGATTTGGGACTGCCCAGTACTATTTTGTCGTGGCAGAGCCAGAGGTATGTGTCTGTCTGGTACAGTGTGCCGCCTGGAAAAGTCTTCACTGTGCGAACTTCTTTTGGTGAAATCTTCCATGCTGCTATTGCTGGGTCCACTGAGTTTGAAGTCTTCACTATTGCTTTGGCTTCTAGAACTGGCAGTGCTTAGGTTCTCCAAACTGGAATCTACAGAGGCCTTTGGCATTGCTGGAACTGGGTTATTGAGGTGATAGACAGGATTCTGGAATGACAAGGGCTGGAGATTTCCTGGCTGGCTCAAGGCTGGATGCAGGGGTCTTCTCACTTGAGGTGCACTCTGGGGAGTGCTCTGGGTTTCCCGAAGTTGTTTGATGCTAGCCACCTGGGTTATAGAAAGCTGACTCCCTGTGAGGCGCATAGGCACATCAAGCATGACAGATGCATGCTCCACTTGAGAAGCATGAGTGTCCTGAAGGTCCATGAGGGAGATGCTCCGACCGTTAGGAAGGCTGCTTTCCTTTTCATCCTTTTCAGAGTAAGTCATGCTCTGGGAGGAGGCTTGCTGAACCAACAATAATGTTTTCCCTCTGAAATAGCTGTCTGTGTTATCCTGGCTTGGAGATTTTAGTTTGTGCAAATCACTGTGGGAAAAAAAATGGCCCCTTAATTACTCTTGAAGCAAATTCTATATAATTAATAGTTCTTCAGTTTGGGCATATGAACTTTTTTGAAGCTTCACAGGACTAATGTAGAAGTTATATTTCTATGGAAACTAAGATTTCATCACTACAATTCTTAGAATAAAATCTAGCATCACCAATTTTCTCCCAAAGGTAGAAAATAATATAGTACCCCTCACTGTCTTCAGTTTTTACTAAGTTAGAACACTCTCCCAAATGTTCTAATTCATACTTAATTCTGTCTAAATTTTCAAATCTTGTCAATTCAGAGCACAAAGTCTAAGGCTCAACATCTTATCCATCCGTCAAAGCAGACATAGATGGTTTCAACCATAAAATGGTTTCAACTGAGGATCTAGCAGAGGTTCTCAACCTCTGGGTTGCAATCCCTTTGGGGGTGGCACAGCAGATATTTACATTACGATTTCTTTCTTTCTTTTTTTATCTTAAAGATTTATTTATTATTTATTATGTATACAGTGTTCTACCTGTGTGCCAGAAGAGGGCACAAGATCTCATTATAGATGATTGTGAGCCACCATGTGGTTGCTGGGAATTGAGCTCAGGACCTCTGGAAGAACAACCAGTGCTCTTAACCTCTGAGCCATCTCTCCAGCCCACATTACGATTTCTAATAATAGCAAAATTATTTTATGAAGTGGAAATGAAGTAATTTTATGGTTTGGGATCACTACAACATGAATAACTGGATTAAAGGGTCGCAGCATTAGGATGGTTGGGAACCACTGGAGGGTATATAAAAGAGAGTAGTTATATAAAAATAGGAATTTTATAAAAGACTTTTTGTCTGCTATGAAACATGACAGATCTCTGTGTATATTTACAGTATAAAACTCTACAGCATCATCCTAGAAAATATAAAATACTGGCTATTGTGCATTGTGGCAAACAACTGGGTTTATCTTATGATTCATTCAGTTGCTCATAACTTGTAAGTTACAAACTTAAAAAAATAGATTAAGTAGGTTTCTATCAAATCTAAACATTATTTTTCTCTTTCATACCTGTCAGTGGGGTCTTCAAAAATTTTCTGCAGCCCAGAGGAGAGGCTTCCACTGACATTTGGACTGGAGCTGTGTTCAGCGAAGCGTCTCAGTTGCTGCTGTATTGGCGTAGGGTTAGTCAGAGACTTGGTAATATCAGCAAGAACACGAGGGAGAGGCCCCAATTTTGCCACAGTTGCCTGTAGGAAGGAATTTTCACCCTAATTGGACAATAAGCATTGTGACATCCACAACATATTGTTTTGGGGACAATGATGCCCATTGATGGAAGGATGTAGGTTGGAGGGAGGGTAGGTATTGCATATGGGAGCGGCAAGTTCATAATGCATTGTTATGGAGCAGCAGAACCATGGCGTCGAGATGAATGGAGGAGGCGAAACAAGGTGCAGTAGACATTGAGGAAAGAAAGGAAATAGAAATTAGGATTATGCAAATAAAATTAAAAGACATGCTCCAAACAAACAAACTACTGCCATTCCGACTAAAATATGCATGCAAAGCACACTAAGTCCTTGAGTGGGTACCAGACCAAGATGGGGAGGGAAAGGGAAGAACAAACACCTTCTAAACAAAAGGAACTTCAGGATAAGATGATTGGCTGCTGTGATGAAACTTCCAAAGAAAAACGATGATGTGAAGAAAGCAACGCATGCCAACATACAGGAAGGTGCTGCACTCAGGGACCCAGAACTGCAGGGCATGCAGTTAGTTTACATTACAATCCACTATCCCAGTTAATCTTGGAAACTTGACTCACTGTCAACTGAGTCTTTTGTTAAAAAACAAACCAAAGCAAAACAGTACAACCACGTGCTCTTTCATTCTTCTCAGATATGCCTAAATAACCTTCTGGTTCCCATGACTAAAGACTAAAAATGAAGACGTGTTTTCACACAGAAAAATTTGTTAACAAAGACTTTGGTCATGAATAAACTAGACCTATTTCATAAAATAATTGTATGTGTATCTTACTGATGTGGCTATCTAACAACAACTTTTAAAATAATTGCTTTATCAATCTCACTCATTTTTTTCTTGCAGCATTCTTTTTTTCTTTTTTGAGACAGGGTTTCTCTATGTAGCTTTGGCTATTCTGGAACTCTTTACAGACCAGGCTGGCCTTGAGCTCAGGTAGATCCACCTGCCTCTGCCTCCGAAGCACTGTGATGAAAGAACTGTGACAGCAGACCCTGCACTTTTTATAGTGTTCTTATCTTCATGGACTCCTTCAACCATTATGCAATTTAGGCTAAAAGTCACGGTTGCCTTTAGGTAGACTTTATCATCTCAAAGATCAGTAGGTGTGTGTGTGATCTTATTCATGCCGGGCAGGTCTTCTTATCACGGAATTATAGTCTGTACATTTGCTGATGTCATTCAAAGCTAAGGTCTATGCAAACACTTAGCTACACACTCCAACCAATTAGCAGACTCCTGTACTCTCCTTGAATAGGTGTGAATACCATTTGAAGAATACCTTGACTTGCTCAACAATGTTAAGCTAAGATTCACATAAGAATTTATTTTCCATATAACTTCAACTTAGTATCTATATAGCATTTCTCAAAGAGTAGTAGTAGTTCTTGAGAATAAGGAATGGATTACAGTTTTATGAACATTTTAAGTTCCAGTGGTCATACTGTTGTTTATATTTTTTCTAGAAAGGAAATTTACTGTTTATTCCTATATATTCTTTACTAGATATAACATACTATAGGTAAGCGGAAAATTAAAAACAAAACAAAACAAATGAATCCTTATCACAGAGTAGTAACACTGATTATTGAACTATTTTTTACTATAGAATCAATTCCTCTTTGTAAAATCCCAGAATGAAGAAAATGATTGGTATGCTTTACACTTAATTATTAAAATGGCATAAATGTTTATTTACATTAGCAAATAGGTGATTTTTTGTATTCTTAATTCTTTTTGTATTCTTAATGGTAGACAGAGGAAATACCTGTATTTTCAGATCCCATGTGACTCTTGGTGCTAAAAATTATATCCAACTCTGACATACACAGTGGGAAAAAAAACTTCTCTATGGTGAAGTTAACCTAAATATGATGAACAATCTTTTATAAACCTGTTCCTTTAAAAAAGATCTCATCTTTAGAAGTTAGCAGACAAGGTTTCTTATACATAGATAAAGATGCATACTCTAGTATTTGGTAATTGTTTTTAGGCAAGTTTTAAGGTATGTATATATGCACAAATATACATATATACTGGTAGGGTATATATGTATATATGTTTCAAATATGTATATACATATCTAAAAGCTTTTCCTATAAATTTCCATAAATATCTCACCATATAAATTTTTAGGAACATTTCATTAGCTCAGATAATTATTTAAACATATATTAATGATTTCATGGCTCTCCAGGAATTTTGGTTGTATATCATTTACTTGATACCATTTACTTTTAGGCATCTAAAGTAAATAATGTTGCTTTAACAAGCAGAAAGACTGTATGTTATCATCACAATGATCTCTAGAATATGGACACTAAGGTCCTGTATCTCCCATTTCCCACTACCCTCCCTTCTACTTTACCTTATCAAGTTGGGAAACTACTTCCCATAGTAAGGAATGCAAAACTGACAGCTCTCTGCCCAGATCAATGTAACCATCAAAGCCTGGGGTGTTTGAGATGGTGTCTGGATTAGAGATCTCCAAAAGGAACCGCTTCATTCCACCCCATTCATGTTCTAAAAAATCATTCATGAATGCCATGTATTCCTCTTTGTTACCAAACCTGAGTTAGGTGAGAAAATAAGAAAAAAAAAAAAAATAGATCAAAAAGACATTATTAACATTTTTAGTTGATTTGCAAAGAGGCATTATTTCTTTTTATTTTGTGATGATAAGGATTTTGTTTCTTCAAGTGGTAACTGCTATATATTTTTTAAAATACTACCTTAATTCATGTTGAAAAACTCAAGAGTAGAAACAAAATTCCTCTTATTTTTGTTCTTCAAAATTCTCATATAATACAGCCCCTAGTTGTCTGCCAAATGCTCATCAAGATATCTATCAACATTACTATTTTTTTTTTTCAGTTTTCAAATAGATTCTATAGCAATCTCTTCTTTACTCATGGTTCATATTGAAGACTTTCAATAGATGCCTGAAATTAGAGATCATGGAACTCTCTATGTTTTGGCCTCTCATGCACTCTTTAAACAAACAACCCTTAAATGGACTTCATAGTTTCTCTTTATCACACTCAAATTGCCAGCATACTATTTCTGCTTTTGGGAAACTATTACTAAGTAATATAAGGTTCTATAAGTATTATGACACTTCATTACCTAATCTCAAAACCTAGAGCCTATTAACAGATAAGTGAAACATACTGCACGGATACATAGAACAAATGGAAAACTGGTATTCTGGGTGGGACTGAGCTAGACTTCATGAGATGTTTGCTACTCAGGTTTGTTTGTGGAACTTTCCGTTTAATATTTTTGTATACAGTAGATCATGGGTAACTAAAGCCATGGACTGCACTCCTTATAAAAGGGGAGTTTGCATGGGGGAGCTTTTTCTAAGTCTCTGCTCATCCTCTCTATTTCATCAGAGAAGAAATAACTGTTCATGTAGGTTTCAGCTATCCTACTTTAAGTCTATAAAACCTGTCCCAATATAATCTACAAACAATTTAATCAGAAATAACTCAAATATGGGCAAATCTATCTGTGCTGGCTTAGCTATGAGGTCCATAAAATTCAAATAGCAAATTAAAAACTAATCACAGACGACTGGAGAGATGGTTCAGAAATAAAGAGCACTAGCTGCTCTTCCAGAGGATGTAGGTTATATTCCCAGCACATTCATGGTAGCTTACAACAGTCTCTAATTCCAGTCCAAGAGAATCCAAAGACCTCTTCTGGACCCTGCAAGCACCAGGCATGCATGTGGTACACAAACATACACACAAGGAAAATACCCATACATGAATATTTTTTTAAAATCAAAATAATATGATATTCTTTCTTCATTGATATTCTTTCTTATACACTGCTGTTAGAAGCTTGTGTGTCTGAGTATTAAATATACCTGTGATCAATTCTGCAAAGTGTGAATTCTTTCCTGGTCCTTCCTTCCTTTTCTTTCTTTCATCCTTCCTTCCTTTCTTTTTTGAGATAGTTTCACTGGCTGGCTGACTAAATTTGTTATGTAGTGTAGGCTGGCCATGGACTCACAGAGATCCACCTGTTTCTATCTCCTGAGTGCAGGGATTGAAGGTGTAGAGCCACTGTTCTTGACTTCCTAACTTCTTTTGAAAATAAACTGAAGCCTACAGAAAAGTTGAAGGAATATAAAACAAACATCCACATTCTTTTCATTTATATCAAGTTAACTTTTTTGCAGTGGGGGGTTTGCTTTCATTCTCTACAGAAATATGTATTTTTATTATCTAGAGCCATTTTAAACTAAATTATAAATACTACCTCCAACTTAAGATACTAATAATTTCACGTTATTTCTTTTGATCGTCTACAGTACCCTTCTATCTTCTGCACATTTTTTCTAGTACCTGTTAGAAAGTAGCCAGCCTACTTGAAATAGATGATGTAACCACAGTATTTGCCTGTCTTCACACTTCTTCAATTTTTTTTTTTTTTAAATGAATGCTCAGGATTGAACCCAGGGCCTTGTGCATACGATGTAAGCATACTACCAGCCTTTCCCTAATACTGCCCTACCTGTATTGTTTTTTCATATTGTTAAAATAATAGCATCTGTATTACTTGGCATCCTATCTTTTCCTTAGTATTCTAACCTAGTTGCTACCATTTTCATATTATTAGATATCTTCTGTAAACATTATTTTAAATTGTTATAAATACTTCACTAACTGTTTGTACCAGAGTTTAATATTTGTTTCCATTTTAAAATTACTGATGATGCAATAAAAATCTAGTAAGAGTAGGAATGTGGCTCCTCAGCCTCATCCCAATGCTCACGCATTTTAAAGCCAGGTGTTTTAAAAAGGGTTAGGGTAGTTTCACCTACTTGGCAAAGTTGGCCAGGTTCTGAATGACCTTGGCAATAAGAGTTAGCGTCCGAGATGTACGGTCATCAGGATACTCCTGCATCAGGTTGAAAAGACTGGGAGACATAATGGCTGGGCAAAGAAAACGGAGAAACAATGAGGCACTAATGAGCCGCTCACTGATGTCTTGCTTGCCTCGGTTCAGGCACTGCTGCTTCCATGATGCAAACACTTCTTTCAACTCACGAGGGAAGACACTACAGAAGGGGGAAAATATACACACACAAAAAACCCCAAAACCTCTAAATATAAAAGTGTCATAACCCATGAAAGTATAAGTGACCCCACTTTGACCCAGGATGCCTCTGTTCTAGATCTGAGCTAGGAGGAGGGGCTATTAGACACCCAGGGATGGAATCAGCCTGATTCATAGCTGACAGGAGGTGGAAAACTCACAGGAGGCCAGATAGAGATTAGAAACTGCAAGTTACAAAATTCTGGATTAGTACAAACTTGGTTTAGCTAAGTGGGAAAATGGCATGAGGTTTCTTACTAAACTATTTGATTTAACATAACATACTGTGATATCCCTAAAGGCTGTTCATGAAGAAATCTTCCCAAACTAACCATTTGTTTGCGGTAGACAAAAGATCAAAATTTGAACAAAAATATGAACACATCTGACCCATACTAACTAATATTTAAAAAAGTAAAAAACAATCCCAAACCAAAAAAAAACCCACCTCACACCTCTAGTCCCAACTTTTGGGTGTTAGAAAGTACAGCTCTAACAGCTAGATGGAAAGGGTTATTTAGAGAGGCAGCTCAGAAGTCTTGCTCATAAGGAAGAGTTAGATTTTAGACAGGACTCAGAGAGGGGAAGCTTGCAATTTCCTTCAAGTCCTTTCTTTGTGGTGACTTTCATGTGGAAAAAGTATGTTCTTTGGCTAGGACACAGGCTCACCAGTAAGAATTGATGATCTTGCAGAAAGCCAACTCACAGCACATTTTCAGGTTGCTCTGATGATCCATTAGCTCACTAGAGGAACACTTGCTGGGGTCCACTTCACAGTTCTCATCTGATTCATACAATGCTTTGATGAATTCCCCTGATCAAAGGGAGATGACAAGTACTGTAACTATACTATGCTTTCCTAATTACAGTAGGAAACAGTTGCGCATGCTTTAGAGTTTCTTTCCTCAGATCTGGCATGGAAAAACCCTGAAGTGTCACTGTTTTACAGCCCAATAGTGACCTCCTCTCATGCACTATGCAGAATAGAACCAATCGCTAGCATCATAATTATTTATAAAGACAGCAACAATTTATTTAAAAATATAGTATCTTTTACCGGAAACACAAAATATATTTATTTATTTTAAAATGAACCTGTATCAGAGCTCCACCTGGTAGTATAAGTAATACCATTGTTCCAGGAACAAAACAAAACAAAACAAAACAACCCAAGCTTGATGAACAGATAATCCAACTAAGGTTTCAGGAGTAATGTTGGTCAAACAAAGATGCAAGCAAGGTTCTATAGGTCTGCCGCTAGCATTGGGGACAGTAATTAAACCCTCCACACAAAACTGCAGCTCTTCTCTTTATATATATCACAAGCTATATATGCTTCCCATAGACATTGGTTTACAAGCATTGGCCAGATAGCCTATCTATAAAGATATGCTTAGTATTATCTGACATCACCTTATGTTTAACTCTGCTATGAATGTCTTCCATGTTTTATACTCTTTTGTGCATATTTATTCTCATATACGTCTCACTTGCAGGAACCAGGTTTTGATCATGTTCAAATTCCTACCCCTTTGACTAACTCTCAAAAGCAGTATAGGAGTATACTGTTTTATAAGAGATGAAGTACACAGTCTTGTTTTCTTATAGGTGTCTCTTCATTAAAGAGGAGTGGACCTTTTTAAGATCCTTCTTGAGGCTCAAAAAGGTTACTTCTTGAGTTCAATCAGGTTCCTGACTTGAGGTTTAGGTTAGTCATAACAGGGTTTCAAAGCAGAACAATAATTTCTATAAAATAAAGTAGCAAAAGTAAAATGAAACATGTTTTCTATCAAAATGATTATTACTGAGATAAAGGAAAGCTTTTAAAAAGTGGCACATGGGTGGGGGGAGAAAATGAACACTCACTGTAGTATTGAGAGAAATATGGTCAAACCCTGGATCCTGACTTAACTGAGTAAGGAGCCTTGAACTGTCACTTAACTCATCTGAGCTTTATTAGCATCAAACCTGTCTTGGAGAACTGTGGTAAGGATCAAAACCCCCCAAAGTAGTATCATTCTGGGCGCTTACTTGGGCTCCATATAGAAAGCATTACTATGTACAAAATATGCTACTTTAAAATAGTTTTTAATAAAGTAAAATCACCAAACTGGTAGTTTTAAAAATGCTAACAATTCCTAAAGATTTGCCTGATATGAGATAGCTTAAAAATTCTATTAAAATTTTGAAAACTGTTTTTATTTTTGGAATTATAACCCATGTCTGATAATGTGTTGTATGCTAAAACAAAGATGAGGCTTTTACAGGTTCACACCTAAAAAGGTACTTACTTTAAAATTATTTGTGTTTGTTTCTTTGCATTTGAAAAGAATCAAAGGGGACAGTCACTGAGTTTAAATACTTACTTGTATTCAGAATGTTCCATCATGGTTTCTCCTCTGAATTGTAAAACTATTCTACTTATTTATCTATGTTTTCATAAATCTAAGCACATAGGTGTGCATGCCTTTGCACATGGAGGCCAGAAGAGAGCGTTAGGTTCCTGGGAGCCAGAATAACAGATGTTTGCGGATATGTTATGTGGGTGTTGTTATCTGAACTGTGATCCACATTATTATGCAGCAAGCAAGCTCTCTTAACTGCTTCTTTGAAAACATCTTTGAAATGAAAACAATTTAGATTTATTTTATGTGTCTATGTCTGTCTATGCACCACCTGAGTGCCCAGTGTCAATGGAGATCAGAAGGTGGCATTAACTTCACTGCAACTGGATTTATGAGTGTTTGCGAGCCACCATGTGGGTACCAGGAACTTAACCTGGGTTCTCTGCAAGAGCAATTATGCTCTGAACCACTGAGCCATTGCTCTACCCCCACCCTTTTAAGGAAAGGTACAGCAGACTGACTACAAACTCACTAAAGTAGTCCAGCCTTTACTGCGAAAGTGATAGAAATACAAGCATGTACCTACCACCATGCTCAGTTCTGTTATGTGTTTTCTATGTAAATCACTAAATCATTACTACCAACATTTCATGTGTAGGCGTAAGTCAACAGGTGCTGGCATATTACTGCTGAAAGACATTTGCCTCCAACACCAGCATGGAAATTACACTTCTGAGAGACTTATGTTTCACAGGTGGCATTTCTTCTGTGCCATAAGACACCAACAAGAAAAGATTTTAGTCAGACAGGTAAAGGGAGCTAGCAGATGGAAGACTTAAGCCTAAACAAAGCAGAGTTTTTTCAGTAGAGAGTAATACTTTCATTAAGATCAAGACAGGCTAAGAAGCTGGCAGATACTATACATTTTGACTGACAACTTTCTTCGAGGATGGGTATTTATTGAACTCATTGTCCTATGTATGCCAGGAAAGTGCTCTACCAATGAACTACATCCCAGGCCCAACTGGCAGCTTCTAAAATCAGAGTTCACTCAATAAAGTTTGGAAATATCACCTCTTTTTTTCTTTTTGCTTAAAGTGTATGGCACACAACAAAACTATATGGGAAGAAGACAATCCAATCTCAAGACTGAGAATCTTATGAGCTGTTTTAACGCTCTTGGAAGCGGCAACCATTTTCTTTACTCTAGCCCATACTCTTAGGTTACAGAAATCTTAACAGAGATTTCTGGGAAGTTATCTGAATTGCTTTCCATGCCTAATGAATTAATTTTCATGCCTCATTGAGTTCATTGAGATATTTAACTACTCACTACTGTATCAAAGGACTTGGTATCCACTAATAATTTCAGAGGTTTAATTCTTAGATATGAATATTCTCACCTCCATGTTTGCAAAATGAAGAATACATGTAGAGATGTTTCACTGTTGCCTTTTATAAGACAACATAAATTAAAGAAAACCATGACATATAATTTATGACTATAGTAAGCACCTGTGTAAATGAGTTTAATAGCATCTTTTCTAGTATCAATGAAAATCAACTGTTTTTCTCAGAATTCCTATTAGATTTTACACTAAAGCAACTGTGCAGATTTTAAGTAACAGAAGTGAAAAACAAAACAAAACCCACTCTTCATGAGAGTAGAAATTAATTGTTACAAGAGCAGGTGTGCTTTATGTAAACACAGCCCTATTTCCTGACCAGTCAGCCATTACTTTTTACCCCTTATGATTTCTTTCTTTTTTTACTTTTCAAGACAGGGTTTCTCTGTGTAGCTCAGGCTGTCCTAGAACTTGCTCTGTAGAATAGGCTGGCCTCGAACTCACAGACAGCTAATATTTAAATTGTGAAATAATTTGACAACTATTTTTTCTTCCCATTTGAAATTTTTGGTAAAAGGTGGTCTTGGGCTAGCAGACTGGTTCAGTGGGCAAAGGCGCTTGATAAAATGCCTGATGCACTTGAGTTGGGTCCCTGGTACCCACATGGTGGAAGGAGAGAACCAGCTACAAGTTGTGTTTTCTCTCTCACACACACGTGTAAATAAGTAAAAATCTAAGTTGTGATGCTTCAGACTGATGAATCAACAGGAAAGGAGCCAGCTGGTGGTGGTGCATGCCTTTAGTCTCAGCAGTTGGGCGGCAGAGAAAGGTTGGCTGTCTTGGGGACTGAATCTAGGGCCTCATGGATGCTTAAAAATGTGCTACCACTAAGTTGTATCTTCAGCTTTTCTGACTGTCCCTGATCCCAACATCTGACCATTTATTTGTGACTTTTAAAGACTCTTTATTTTTGACTGGACTCAGAAGTAGAAGCTTTCAGCAAGGACAGCCTACATCTCTTGGCAATCTGTTCCTGGAGTTTTTCTTTGGCTTCTTTCATTCTTTTAGCACATTCTGCAGCCTTGTTGTTTTTCTTAGTGTGTGTTTCTTCCGAGCACTTGTGTTGCAGGACACGTGAAGTAACAAAACGCTGAGACTTGGGGACTTTGGTCTTGGGCATCTTACCTTCTTTAATTAAATGGCTTTCAGACATCATATTGGTGGACATTATCTTTAGAGAGGTTAAAAAGTTTGCAAATTCTGCTAGTTCTACTAGACACCAATCAATGAGGCACAGTAGTGTCTGTCAGTCCAGAAACATTCTTCTCTCCTTTTCTTTTTTTTAAAACAATAACCACATTGAGAACACTCCACTTTGCATCCATAATATATCCGTGAACAGGCATGTTCTTCCTCTCTCCAGTTATCCTTGGTCTATCACAAGAATGCCTCTTACTCACCAGCAGGTGCACTCTGATGTTGGTTAAGATACTCTGCTTTACGGGAAACTCTTGTTCATCATTCCCACCATTGATCTGGACCACATAACCCTTCTACTCTTCACCCAGTGCATCAGCAGAAACGCCTGTGTCCATGTGCTTCTCATAAAGTATGGTGTTTGCGACCATCGTCCACTTAAGTGAGTTTTTGACATATTCAACTTCATCCCGATGCAGCCGACCACCTAGAAGGCACCAGTCTTTCGCTCTCTTCTCTACTGGTATCCAGGGTTTCATTTCCTTTCTTTATTGCATTTTCTCTCTGATCATTTTTCTTGATCCCTCATCTTTCTTTTACACTCTAAACAGTGTTTTTTGGTTCCATTCTCTTTTCATTTAGCCTCATCTAACTCCTCTGTATGAGTTAGTCCCAGAGTTCTCACCGCTCTCTAGACATATGTTCTGCTTTGCTTTCCCACTTAAACCTCCCAAAAATTCCTATCAGAACTTCAGGTGAATATATATAAGGTAAACATATAATTTCCCCCTTTCAAGCCTACATGTCATGATTTCTGTTTATGTCTAATCCAGGGGCTGGAGAGATGGTTAAGTGGTTAAGAGCATGCACTGCTCTTGGAGAGGACCTGAGTTTGGTTCCCGACAATCACATCGGGTAGACTATAACTACCTGTTATCAAGCTGTATGGGTTCCTGCGCTCATGTAACATACCCATACACAGACATACATAATTTAAGATAAATCATAAAACAGTGCATCATCCTTATTCATTTAGAAAGTCTACAAATTCTCTATAATACTTATTCTTTCTTTCCTACAAACTGAAAGAGTTGCTAAGTCAGTTCAACTTCAATGTTTTTCTTATCATTCTTTTTCACTAGTCTATTCCCAAAGACTGTCTCATTATTTCTTGCTCTCCATAAGACAATGGCTTTTGTTTCCAAGATTTATTATTCATTTACTTTTTTTTTAAAAAAGGTGTATGAGCGTTTTCATTCATTCATTCATTCACTTATCCACTTATTCATTCATTCATTCATTCATTCATTCACTTATCCACTCATTCATTCATTCATTCATTCATTCATTCATTCATTCATTTATTTATTCTGTACTGTGTACTACAAGTATGTAGTTCACACAGCAGCCAGGAGATGGTATCAGATCCCCTGAAACTTGAGTTACAGAAGGTTTTTAGCCACCATGTGAGTGCTTGGAACTGAACCCAGGTCAGAGCATCAAGCGCTCTTAACCAATAAGTCATCTCTTTGGCTCCTACAATGACTTTTTAATTGATCTCTATTGCTTTTTCTTTTTAAAAAATTCACTCTCTTAATTCCATTAAAATTATCCTACTAAAAATTTTTGGTGGCTTTCCAATGATTAGTATAAATTGTATATCCAGAACCACACTCTCAAATTTTGGTTTCTAATTATTGCTAAATTTTTTGTTGTTATTCACTTATCCCTTTCATGTTCTTTTAAAACTATTTTCCTTTCTTTCCTTCTTCCCTTCCTTCCTTCTTTTCTGTGTGTATGCGCTATGGTACGTATGTGGAAATCAGAGAACAACTTGTGGGAGTTGGTTTCACCATATGGATCCTGGGCACTAAATCTGGGTCACACGGTTACTGGCAAGTGCCTTTACCCACTGAGCACTCTCGCTAGTTTACTTCCATGCCATTTTTCCACCGAAAGGCATATTGCATAATCACCTGATTTTTTTCCCTCATGTCTATGACTCATGTCTTTCTAATTGTCTTTACAAATTCTCTGCAAAAACACAGAATTTCTCTTTTGGTTAAACAAACAATCTCATGTCATTTCCTTGTGAACAAAACCCTCTATTCAGCATACCTTTATTACCACCCATTCTTGATGGTTACATGTGATTGGTAAGCACTACAAATATACCTAGAACAAATTAAAATGGGGGATAAATGTAAAATATACACCAAGTTTCGGAGTATATAAGTACCTCATTAATATTCCACATTGATTAGTTGTTAATATTTGATATAGTGTGTTAAATAAAATTTGTCATTCATTTCATTAGTTTCTTTATTTTTTTTATACTATGACTATTTAAAAGCTTGAGGTTACTTTAATAAACACACAATATCACACATATGTGGCTCCCACCATGCTTGTACAGTACAGTGCTGTATTACTTTCTGTGTGAAGAGTTAGGTGTATGGAGATACAAGGAAATGCTGGTCATGGTGGCTCATGTCTATAATCCTAGCACTGGGAGGCTGAGGCAGGAGGAATACTATGACAACAAGGCTAGCTTAGGCCACCATAGCAAACAGTCCCCCCCAAACCACTATTTTTCTTCAAGGAACTTATACTCACTTTATTATCCTATCGCTTTATTGTGCTATGTGTTTAAGACATTACCTCACTCTAGCACCTAATGACTTAATTTCATAACCAATTCTAGATCTTTAAGTGAGTGGCCTTGTTAGTCAACAACTACTAATGACTGAACAAAAACTAGTTAACAGTTAAAGACCCTTAAAGTAGAAGTGTAGAACTTAGGAACTAGCAAGCATTTCTTCATTTCTGATGAGAGCTTTGTATGCATAATAATAAATGGTAGGTTAATCCTTTTAAGACTGAGGCAATATCACGCTATGACTAATTCCCAATACTTAGGAGAAACAGAACACCTTAGTTCTGGTGGTGAAATCTACCAATTGTATTATATACCCTGGGATGAGAAATGCAGAGGTTTTAGGATGGCTATATACACTGATGGGTTTTCTATTTTATACATGTTATAATGAACATGTGTGGTTACTCCACTGTAAGTACTACACAGAGAGTTTACAGCTGAAATCTAAGTCACTCAAGTCAGGTGAACTTAATGTACGCAGATTTTCAATTCAATTTGTTTGTCCTACGAGGTAAAAAAAAAAAAAAAAAGTTAAAACTGAGAGGGAGAGAAGATATCTTCCTCTTCCATACCCAGCGCATCATGAAGGTACTGCTGTCCCACCAACTTGAGGTATTCCTCAATGGATTTAGTGGCAATGGTGTTTTCTCTGAAGATCAAGACATCATGCTCTCCACAACGATCCACCTCTGACATCACCAAGTCAGTCAAAAAATCCTGGCGGGATAATATTCAGTCAGAAAGAAAGCAACTGAGCAGTAATAAACATCAGAAGAGACTATGGAAGCAGCAGATATCCTGGAAACACTGCTTTAAAACTAAGCCACCAAATTCCTTGGAAAGAGAAAAGGCAGTCAGGATAAAGATCTTACGTATTGCCAGCTCTAGATTTAATTTCTGAGTTTCTTCAGAGATTTTTCTAATGCACTTTTTAAAAGATCATAATTCTGAATGTATCTCCAAGTCTCTCTTTCCAACCTCGCCTAGTACTATTCTCTGCTACAGTCCCTGCATGGTGCTCTAGTTTCTTTTTATATCATTTAGTTCACATGTACTTTCTACATAGTGTTTTCTATTCACCACAAAAATCTTTTAGCTGTTCTCAGTTCTGCTCTACTTCTACCCTCACCTCCACTCCCATTATCATAAAACTAATTTCTGGAAACCTTTAGTTTTCGGTTCACAAACTGCTTCCTCCATGAAGTCCTCCTGGACCAAGGTTACCCTTTTCTACACCTTAATATTATATAACTTTTTACTCTCTGTACTTCTCGCTATAATCAGAGATTTATTTTTTAATTACTTAATATGGTTTCTCCAGAAAACTGAAAGCTCCATGAGGCCAAGGATAGTGTTTATCTTTGTTCAACACATACAGTGAAGACACTTTCAGCATCCAACAGCTACTGCCATGTTAGATGTCATTTTATCTTCCCAGTTTTCATTTCCATTTAGATGAAAGATTGCCATAAAATAGCTGCCAACTAACTGTACAACACCCATTGGTGTTTTCACTTCAGATCCACATTTGAATTCCATGAAGACTTGTACTTAGCACAGTTCTTGACTATCTCCTCCTGTACCATGGGGATACAGTTAGCAGTTAAAGTAAGAGAAAGGGCTGGGTGCAGTGGTGTATGCTTATAACCCCAGCACTTGGTGAGGCAGAGGCAGGTGGATCTCTTTGAGTTTGAGGACAGCTTGGTCTACAAAGTGAGTCCAGGACAGCCAAGGCTACAGACAGAAACCCTGTCTTGAAAAACCAAAAACCAAACCAAACCAAACCACCAAACAACCAAAAAGCAAAACAAAAAAATGCCACCCCCCCAATCTCACAAAAACCAAAAAACCCACGAACAAAAAACAAAAACTGAAAGAAAGCCATCATTTAACATAACACTTCAGAAAAACCTTCGCTAGGCACGATGTTGCACACCTGTATCATACCTTCAATTCTGGGATTTGGGAGGCTGAGGCAGGAGGATCTCAAGTTTGGGGCTATAATGAGTAACATGGTGAGACCATGCTTCAAAAAGACGACAATAACAAAAACTACAATAACAATAAAGTTTGAAAATGTTGTGGGGTAATAGTAACTGCATGTATGGTATCTAACTCATGGAAATAAACTAGGAGTAAGCATTTGCTAGTTCCCCCATTTCACTTTAGTTTAAAAAAACCTCCATCTCTTATAGGCCTGCTAATAGGCTTTCTTAGCTCAGTCTTAATTTCCCTTTCTTTCTCGGAAGGCTTTTAATGCTGGATTTTCACAGTATCTACCAGTAACCACAGCCTCATTTCCTTGTACACAGTAAGGAAGGACTTTAAGGTAACACCCTTTTCGACTTACCTTGGCTCTGCCAGTACTTTGAAGAATGTGTACTAAGGCACAAGCCAATTCCTCTTTATTCCTCACACTAATTACTGGCTCAAGGACAGAACACAGCATGGTGTAGTTGCTGGTGATGAATTCTGCAAATTCTTTGTATTGTTCCATAGGCAGAATGGTGATAGTTTGGAAACGTGACTTAATCCGGATAGAAGGTCCTCCTGTCTTTCCCTTGTTGGGTGTGGGTGTACTCACGGGGTACCACTTTTCTACAAACTGGCGACCAGTCACACTGGCAGTGGGGATGTTGACTAGCCCTACATAATTATTCTTGTCCTTTTTTTTCTTTTTTTCCACATCCTTATAAATGTGAACTGTGATGCTATGAAGAGGTGGAAGGCTATAGAATTCAAAATGTTCACCCCAGAAAATATTGTCTGCTTTGGTCTTGCTGGTTGTACGAGCAAAGAGGGTATCATCAAGGCACAGTTCGCAGAAATATTTTTTTTTAGGGGCAAGGTCCTTGGCTTCAATGATCCATAAACGAAGAACATTTTCAGCTCGTCTACAATTGTCCTAAAAAGAGACAACAAAGTTGAATTTGAAGCTGACATACCAGAAAGAGGATGTTTTCTTCTTAAAGTAAGGCTAATTATTAACATTCCTCTAATAGAGTAGTCAACATACAGTAATAAGAATCGCTATCTCATTTAGGATCACAGAACTCTGAAGAAGAATCTTGCACGGGTAAGACTGTTCAGTGGGTAGCTGGCTGCACCTGCTGCCAGACCTCCATTTGATCCCCAGGACACACATAGTGGAAGGAAAACAATCAACTCCTGCAAATTGTCCTCTGAAATCCATGCGTCTACTGTGGTCTGTCTGTCTGTCTCCCCCCTCACCACACAAATAAATACACGTAATTAAAAGCATTTTAAAAGAATCTTACAGAACCACAAATACTGTTTTACTTGTTGACAAAAAATACCATCATGTAACTAAGTTCTCTATAGCCAGCTTTATGAGGCTGGACTAATTTAATTTCTAGGAATAAAAAAAGAGAAGTTGCTAACTAACATGCCTCCTAGTACCACTTTTATCATGTATTAACTTCTGGTGGGACATGTCATCCGCTTTTTTGAGTCTATATTCACACCGGTAAAATGATCTTATTGGAGATAAGATCAAATGTCATAGTGCAAAATGTCATAACATGTATATTGTTTTTAAAACTGTCAAGCTTTAAGCCAGATGTGGTAGCAGTAGCCTATAACCCAGGCACTTGTGAGGTTGCAAAAGGACTGCAAGTTTAAGACCAGCCTTGGTTACATAGTGAGACCTTGTCTCAAGAACCAAAAAAATTAAGATCTAGAAAATTAAGATATTAATATCTTTGTTTTCTATCAACTTGATGCTTACAAGCTGATAAATGAAAAAACTTTTATTCAATTTGTTCTGACAATTTCATATATGCATAAGGTGCATTCTTTAATCTCTCTCCTACCCTCACTACACCCCTCCTTACAAGTTCCTTTTCTACACATTTGTATCCCCTCCCACTTTCTGAGACCCACTAAATTTAATCATGTGGTGACCATAGGTTTAGAACCATCCACTAGAGCCGATGGGTTCCTCTGGTGATGAAACTCAATGAAAACTGAAAACTGTAACTGTTCCTCCCCCCAACTCTACAAGCAGCTAATAGTTCAGCAGAGAGGGCAGGGCCCCTTGAGCCCTTTCTAATCCATGACTGACTGCCGGCAGACCAGGTTTTGTTGCTGCCAGAGCAGCTATGAAGTGATGAGAACATTGGCTGTGTATTTCTTAGCCCTTCCTTCCATTTTCCTGCGTTTACATTCTTTCTGTTTTGTCTTCTAAGATGATCCACGAGCCTTAGAGGGAGTGATATAAATGTCCTGTTTGCGACATTTTTGTCCTGTTTCGACACTCAAAGCTACCATTACCTTATTTGGCTGAACTGTCCTTCGAAGGTTTTCCATCCACTTATCTCTCTCTGAGGCAGAGTTACAGCTAAAGCATTTACTTCCACTTAAGTAGGTGACCTTCAATACAAAGATTAGAGATGAGGATATGAGACTGTGTGTGTCTATGTGTTTGTGGGGGATTTATCTTCTAATTTCTATATTTTTAAGAATTAGGGACATATTATGAAACCCAGATCTTCTTACTATATGAAGCTAAAACTATTGTTTTAGTTTTGTTGTATCTTTACTTAAAATTTAACCTTCTAAGTAGCATCCATACTTCTGAGCTATGAGAACAAAGCTCATTTACAATTTAGCTGGCCTATGGTTCAGAGAAATAAGACATAAAGGCAACATCTAAAATTACTTGTAAATGAATATACTGATTTGAGCTAATAAAAAGAACTAAAAAGGGAAAATGTTTGTAAAATAATTTGATTTCTTAAGATTGCTTCATTAGAAGGATACTAAATGAAGTTGAATTACTCTTTGGAATCCATTTCTTCTCCAGAAGGCAACCAACCCACTGAGTTCTAATCATTTATAACACTGGACATAGTATATTATGTTCATAGTACAAGCCCACTGAACTGAGCTCCGGAAATAAAAGTTCAGTGATTTTCAACATCATCATCATCATCATCATCATCATCATCATCATCATCATCATCA